CCCCAAAACCCCAAAACCCCAAAACCCCAAAACCCCTTAAAAAGGACAAAATTGAATTTTTTAATAAATTATTTCCCACTTAGAAAAAGATGCTAATCCATCCTTCGAATTGGACGTGTCTGCTTCTTATAGTTATACCTCAAATTGCGGATATACTTATTGATTTTGTTCCTCTCAACTTTCTGTCTCTGGTTCCTGACAGGGTAGACCTTTCAGAATGCTACATATTCTTTAATAGCCCTATCCAGAGAGACAATATTCGCTTGCGCTCATTTGATGATATCATCATCACTTTGAACGTCGTCATCCATTTCCTAGACGAATTAGTACATCTTGGGTGGTAGGAAATAACATACTCTATCTAAGGTAAATACTTACAGCATCTATAATGTTCTTGTAGACTAAATTCTGGGCATTATTCTCCCTTTCAGAACTCTTTTTCTCACTGGAAGACTGAGGCCATATATGTCGGATATCATATAGCTTAAACTCCCTGAATTTTCATCTGCCTTCTATATTGTTTAAAAAGTCCATACTCTTGTTCCCTTTTAGAACTTTCAGCTTAATTGAGGAAGGCTGGAACTCCTGAGATGGCTCTGCCTCATCAGAGCTACTGTGACCATGGATATTCTCAACTATTTCTCTTTTGAAAGTGTAATCTTGAGATGTACCATCCATTGGATCATCCTCAGTTTCATTCTCAGGAATAAAATTACTGCCACTGAGTTGATCCTTGTCACTCATAATTTCTTTCAGAAGACTCTGGGTTTCTTGTTCATTAAGCTGGGGATTTTCATCAATAATTTTAGGATTTTGAAGCGATCAAGGAGCCTGATTCACATTTTGAGTAGTCTCTTGGCTAATCTGATTTTGCTCAGGTTCATGTTTATACCTCAAATTCTGCTCTATCTTCTCTTGATCTTCAGTATACAAATTCTCATGTGAAAATCCATATCCTATCTGGGGTCCATAGCAATACTGATTTTGAAAGTCCTGCTGCCTAAAAATCAGAATTGTACATTTGCGGGAGCATGTTAGCATCAGAATTGAATTGCTCTTGGACATAATTGGCATCATTAAAATATCCCATATTAGGATATTGCCCTGGCACATTCCCTAAATCAGCTTAGACCTAAATTTGGCCATATCAGACCATTAAGAACCTACCGTAACTAGCTTGGGCCATGAGCATGTCCTGGATCTGCATGTCACTGCTCAATTGTGGTGGCATATTCTGACTCATATCATACATCCCAAACTGGTACATCGGAATAGAGTACTGGTCTATAAACCTAGTTAACCATTCTAGCAATTTTAGGGGTTGGTCATGAACAAAATTGAAAAACTCCCTCAAAGAATCAGAGTTGACCAGGCTGAGCACCAAGTTGTTTAGAGTCGAAATTTGGCACTCATAAAACTGAATGAACAGGATATTAATTGAGATTTATACGAGAAGTAGGATTGATGACCCACAAGGAATGCGAATCTGATTTTCAGCGCAAAAGCTCAACCAGAGTCTAATTTATTGGCCATTTTGGCTAAACTACTGCCACTAAGTGTTAATGGAATTTTAAGATTGAGAAATTATGCAAATTCTTGGTGTTGTTATGGTTAGGATAAGATCTGATGATACTGTTTAAATCTGAAGGTTTAAGAAAATACATTTTGAAATTGAAAATTACCTAAAACTCCCATCTGTGATTGCCAGTAGCTAGGATTAGTAGCAGCAGTAAGCATAGATTCTGTATTCCTTTCTTGGTATGTATCAGGAAATATGGTTTCTTCTGGAACAGTTTTCTCAGTTATATTAGAATGCTCTCCATTGATTTCTTTCTTCTTAATAATTTCAATTTCTTTAAGAACCAGCGGAGAAGTTTTACCAATCCCACTCTGAGTTCTACTGATGTTATTATCCCTATTCAAAAATGTGACATCTTTATGAAAATCATAAACTGACTACTGCTAAAACACATCTAAAACCCTTTTCTCTTCCCAAAGTTACCTTATACTCAAAATTCCCATTCCAGCTCTTTCTCCCCTTTACAATCCTTCTTCGCTTCATCAGGTTCCCTCTCATCTTGTGGGCTCTTATGCCCCTGGTTCTTAACGTCAATGGTATAATCTTCTCTGTCACTTCCTTTTTCCATCAACTTATGCATTTTCTACAGGTCAAAATAGGTTGCTTACCTCCCTGATCAGCTTGATGTCGTTCACTAGCAGGAACCTGACCCTGTCCTTCTTTAGTTTATGCCTACTCATCAGGTTACGGATGTTCACACATGTCTATATGGGTTAAGAAAAACCTTACCTGCATCAAGTCCAACTCTTCAGAAGAGGTGTCATCGTTATTTATACGACCTCCGATTTGCCTACAAAACAATTAGACCGACCAAATCCCCTCTAAACTCCACAAAGCCTCATAAAATTCTCAAAACCACTAAAAATTTCCGCAATGTCAAAACCCGCCAAAAATTCAAAAATATCCAGACTTACCTTTCTTGCCTTCTGAGACCTACTCCTGCCAGAATTAGCATGAGTAGTTCTTTCTCTGTGGCTGCTCGGGGAATTAATTTCTCTACTAGGATTACTGATCATTAAGAACAAATCAATGATATAAGTATGCTTATATAATGTATAATAATGGATATCTTTAAGTGAGGCCCAGGATATCTAAAATCAACACACGTAGATTTAGAAGTGCGATTGGGAAGATAAGAGAGAGGGTTTAAGGAACCGAGTGGAGTTTTCAGGTTTTTGGATTTTGTGAATTCGATGTGTTTGAAGTAAGTTTTGAAGTTTATGGATTTTTGTGATTTATGAAAGCTAGAATTAGTGTTTTAGAAGATAGTTAAGATTTTATATTTTTATTATTTTTTTAATTTTCTGATTTATAGGACAAAGAGAGACAAAAAATATATTTTACCTTAATAATAGTTGTTAATAATTTTCATGATGACTACTATAATTATTAAATCAAACGACTAGAGTTTGACAATGGGTTATATTTCATGTAAAAATATAAGGTTGACAGCTCAAAAATATCATAAAATATTCCCACAAACATGAGATGCCAGGTTGGTTACAAAACCTCTAGTAATGTCAAATCATTCTGTCTTGAGCTACAAAAATAATGTTAGCGCTCGAAAGACCGCACTTAAGCCTCTAGATCTCTAAGAAATTAAGGAAAGTGTGCCGATGCACAGGAAGTATCTCCTCGCAAGGTTCCTAAAATGACCCCTAAAGGCCAAGTATGAGCACATAGAAAGCAGCAGAGAATAATGAATCTTTCAATAGCCTAGAATGAATATGAAAATAAGCAGATAAAAAGCCATTTACCCGACTGTATCAACTACAAGTTAATATATTCAATCAATTTGGCAAGATATCTTGGGGTTTTGGGGTTTTGGGGTTTTGGGGTTTTGGGG